TGAAATCATCTATTATCTTTGGGAAATCGATAGCAGCAGATACGAAGCAAGCCATAAAACAGGTCCTTGGTATAGAAAAGGAAGGCGGAGAAGGTACTTATCTTGGGCTCCCAGAGTGTTTTCAAGGTTCGAAAAAAGACCTCCTAAATTTTATAAAAGAAAAATTGGAGGGTCGGTTACAAGGCTGGTATTCGAAAACTTTATCAATGGGTGCTAAGGAAGTTTTGATCAAGTCAGTGGCCTTAGCTCTCCCAATTTATGCTATGTCTGTTTTCCGATTACCGAAAGGTCTTTGTGAACGGATTACGAGCGCGATAATAGAGTTTTGGTGGAGTAGTGGGGACAAAAAAAGAAAGATACCCTAGGTTTCATGGGAAAAGTTATGTAAACCGAAAGAGCAAGGGGGTCTTGGGTTTCATGATATTGGTCGTTTTAACCAGGCGTTACTGGGGAAACAAGCGTGGAGAATCTGGAATAACCCGGATTCTTTGGTTGCTCGGATTCTAAAAGGTAAATATTTTAAAAATGGAAGTTTCATGGATTGTGGAATGGGGACTCGACCATCATTTGCTTGGCGAAATATCATGCATGGTAGAGAATTACTTACAAAAGGATTATACCGGCATATTGGTAATGGAGCAGACACTAATGTATGGGCTGAAAATTGGATTATCGATACAATTCCAAGACCCCCAATGTACCGTGACGGAAGTTCCATAAACTTAGCGTTAAAAGTTTCAGATTTGTTTATTGAGGGATCATGACAATGGGATATTAATTTGCTCCATCAAACCTTTACCCCACAGGATGTGCAACGGATACTTCTTTTAAAACCTTCAATTATATTGGATGACTCAATTAAATGGGGTTTCACACCAAATGGTTCTTACTCAACGTGGAGTGGGTATAAGTTACTGGAGGCTTTAGCAGATTTTGATCAACCACAAGGACACTCTCTGACACCAATTGAAAAACAGTTATGGAGGAAATTGTGGAAAATTAAAGCCCCACCAAAAATAAAACATTTTATGTGGCGTGCTTTGTCTGGTGCGTTGTCGGTCAAACAACGGTTGAACACTAGGGGTATACCGGTCGACCCCACATGCTCAGTGTGTGGTAATGGTGCTGAGAGTATTTATCATGTTCTTTTTATATGCGATAAAGCCCGTAATACATGGGAGCAATCGAATTTCCCCACTCCCTTAGGTGGTTTTTCTCGAAACTCTACTTTTTTAAATTTTGTACATTTAATCAAGATGGGTTCAAGCTCTAGTACGGATATACATACAAGGAATGTCTTCCCATGGTTGCTATGGGAAATTTGGAAATCTAGGAATGCTTTTATTTTTGAAAATAAAGTTCTATCACCGTCGTTAATTGCAAAACGAGCCTATGAAGAAGAATCCACATGGTTTGATACCTTTTCATGTAAGAATGAAGGTAGTAGTGATGCTGATGAGACGGATCAGAGAGGATGGAAAAAACCACCACATGGATTTTTTAAATGTAATGTTGGATCCTCATGGTTAAATTCGAGCCATCTTTCTGGTGCTTCATGGATTCTACGTGATGAACATGGGTCTACAATCATGCATAGTCGTCGATCTTACTCGTGCATGCGTACAGTAGTTGAAGCAGAGTTATGGGCTCTTTTTTGGGCGGTGGAATATATGCATAATCTTCGTTTCTCTAATATAATCTTCGAAACAGCGTCTGAAAGCCTTCATGGAGTTATCACAAATCCAAATAACAACAATATCTTCAGCCATATACGCCACAATATCCGCTTTTTACTCACTCGGATAGATTGTTGGAGTGTAGACCACGTTCGTCCCGTCCGCAATGAGTCAGCAACGTCAATTGCGGTGAGTGTCACTCGTGATTTGCGCCATCAATCTTATATCGCTCAAGGAGTCCAGTTTGGCTTCATCATTTACTTGCTTTGGAGGCTCAAGTGTAGAAGGCTTTGGTGAGATTTCCTATTCTTTTCGTTCTTGGTGTCTATTGACACTTATCTTTTTCATGCTCTTTCTTTGTATGTTATGACACCATGTCGGCTCGAACTATCAGTGTTATAAAAAAAATATTATGTCTTTTGGATTTGTTATTGTAATGTTTCGAACTATACTGCTTTGATTTTTCTTTTCAGAATTCTATAGAAAACTTTTAATTATTTTAATCTACAAAACTAGTTTTGGACAAAGATGTTCAATAGCCACAATAGTATCAATCAAATCCATTATTGTCGGTAGTACTATCAAAGAAGTATCTGAAGTCAAAACATGTTTTTGTTATTTCAACAAAGAATCGATGGGTCCAATCCAAAATCACGTTCATATATGTGTAACGCACTACATGAAAGGATCTTCTTCTCCCACGAGTTGTAGCAACAAATGGTAGTGGCCTAAACTCCCGTGTCATCGATGAGTTGTTGAAGAGAAAGAGTTGTTGCTCCAATGCGAGGGAAATTAAGTTGATGATGTGGCAAAAACCGCATAGGTTATGAAGGTGAGGGAGATGCTGGAGTGTTCAAAGTTATGGAGATGGTTTCGTCATTGGAATCAAATGGTTGGTGATTCTTTTTTTTTTTACCATGGAAGCGTTCCACAGAAATATAAAAAGCGAGGAGCCTACAATGATCTGGAGAGGCTCTAAATATCTTGGTTTTGAAAGAGCAAAACCATGTACATGATATGTATGATTTTGGTTGCAGAGAAAATAGTTTGATATGGTTAAAGAGGTGCCATAGACAAAGAAAAAAAAAAAAACAGGTACTATGTATGTGACCCACGTCACCCACCAATCCCATGTTGTAGCTTTGAAGGTTCAGATTATGGAAGGTGGTAATGAATTGAAGATAAGTGTTCAGCTGAATGAGCAAAGATCATGCATTTTCCTAGATTCACATTACTGTGTCTTTGATGTTTTCCGGTGAGGATCTCCTTGGTCGGCGGAGGTTAGCCGTGTGATCTGTGTCATTTGACTCATTTGCCTCTTGTCTCTTCTCCCCTTTGCATCCGAAGTACGCGTACTAGATTGTTTGATGCACTTCCTTCTTTGAATATCCTTCTTTATTAATAAAAAGATGAAAAGATTTATTTCTACTATTTTTTTTTATGTTTGGTATCCAATAGAAAAATAAGTGATTGATTGGACTGTATAAATAATTTCCAGTATAAATTTTATTAACAATTTAAACTATCAATTATGAAATTTTATTTACAATTTTAAACTATCAATTATGTTTAGACTATTTTTTTCTTAAAAATACTGAAATTAGCTGTAAGAATGTCTATAGAAATTTCTTTTCTACTTTGTAACAGGTATAACTACATATTTAATAGTTAAAAATTAAAACTAATACGTCTAACCTAAATTATACATCAAATAATTATCTTTATAGTCCCACCAATCCAAAGTAATATTTACAAACAAAAAACAACATAGCTTAAAACATCATCATAACTTTATGCTTAATTATTTATATAATTTTTCATTTATAGTTGGTTTGATTGTGTTTAGCTGTGTGTATTTGTATTAATAAAACCATCTTCAACCTACTTCTTTATGAAATATATATATTTTTTTACAGAAATAGTGAAACTCTATTATAAAATTGGATTTGCTCCCATATATATACATCTATAATAGAATTTTCTTTATTTTTAAGAAAATATAAATAATTATAAATTTCAACTTTAAATATAAAGATTATATCTCTATATTTTCTTCTAAAAATAGAGAAACTCTATTATATATTGGACCAAACTTACCTCTTGAAAAAATATAGAGATATATATTGGAGATCCTATAAAGCCCGGCTCTTTTCTGTAAAACAATATGGCATCATTATTCCCTCCTCTCAATTGAATCTAAAAATTTAGCGTAGCACGTCACCAAATTTAAAACGGAACCTCGAAACCCTAATTCGTCACTTTCGCAGAGAGGCCATCTCCAATGGCGATGGAAACACAAACGACGCATCATCTATTGGAGGTGTTGCAGACGGAGATTCTAGCGAGATTACCCTTGAAAACCATCTTCAGATTCAAATCAGTGTGCAAAACATGGAAATCAACAATCGAAACTGTGTATTTCCGCCGTCTCTTTTTATCTCTGCACAAAAACTCCTCTTCATCTTGGTCGCTCTTGGACGGACCATACGAACTCATAGGATTCCATGGATGTAAAACATGGGATCTTCCAAATTCTCCAGCTTCACTCATCCCACCGCCTTTCAAACGCTATCACACCCATGATTTTGACTATGTGGTTTCTTCCGGTGGATTGGTTTTGATCAGAGACGGCTCTGATAATGCTTACTGCTACGTGGGCAATCCAGTTTCACAGGAATGGGTCAAAATCCCTCCACCTCCATCTGATCCGACAGGTGATGGTTCTTGTGCGGTTTGTCTGGTGACTCGTTTGGATGAGGACGGTGTTGTTTTAAGCTTTATAGTGGTTAGATTAGACACTGTCCTAGTCCTATCGACAGAAAATCATTTTGGTGCGTTTATGTATTCCTCCGAGACAGGGATCTGGACTTCCAAAGTAGCTCGCTGTCCTTATTACATCAGCAACATGTTTGATATCAACCTGAATGGTACTATCTACTATACTTCTTTGACTTTACCTGGAGTAGTCGTAGCTCATGATTTCTATTCTGAATCTGAACAATTCCGGGCTGTGCAATTACCGGACTATCCGGATTACAACAAGGACTACAAACGAACCTTGTCTATATCAGGAGGCTTTGTCATGTATGTCAGAACATTAGCTAGATACAAAGAAACTGTTTTGAAGATTTGGAGGCTAAACAATGATGACGACACTTGGCATCTTTTGTGGGAAGTTGGCTTTTTAGTTAGCGGTAACTATGTACCCATGGCAATGCATCCATTTGATATTGGTACTGTTTATATATGGAGTCAACGGTATCATCATTTGGTATCGTGCAACCTGCGGAAAGGAGACTTCACAGTCCTGGGGGATGCATCTAATAATGGTCACCAAGATTGTTTCATTGACCATTCTTTGTGCAAGAAGAGGGTGGATAAGATATGGCTTCCAAAATTATCATCAAATTTATACTTCAACTTTAATGTTTGTATCTCGTTTTGTTCATTCGTGGTCCCACGGTGGATGGAACCGGTGCCTCGTCCACCTAAAGCTGAGATGATAGATACGACTTCACTACTCTCTTATGCTACTGCAAATCTGTATAAACACATGAGACAATAATGAGGAATAGACGCAACAACGAGTACATGTGGATGTAGTGCTATAAGTATGGGTTTTTCTTATTTGCTGTGTTTTGGATTTGTTATTGTTAATGTTTTGAACTGTGCTCTGTTTGAAGAGTGGTCTCTTTTTTTTTTGAATAAAATCAAAACCACAAAATCATGTAATGGGTTTCCTTTGATTGTTCTTTTCAGATTTCTATGGGAAACTTTTGGGTCGACTATCTATTTCGATCTATTTCTCCATGAAAGTATTATATAGCATCAAATGTCTATGAAATTATGACCCCGTTCTATTTACCCCCGAGAATAAAGTTCGCAACCTATTTCCCTCACCAAATTTAGTTTAGTTATGATTTCTGAAAACCGAAATCCAAATCTCCACTCTCATAAAATAAAACTGAGCAACACTAAACAAAGACAAAATTAAAACCCGACCAAACCTTTATCTGGATTAGAATAGTAACCCGATCCAGCAATCAAACTTAAAAATATTCGACTGATTGAATCTTAATCCGGTTAGTCATTGGCTTAACATGGTCTACGGTTTATTTATAAACACTAAACCAATAAAAATCGATTTTGTGGGTTTTTAGATTTCGATATTTATAATTGTGGGGAAATATCGATATAACTTTAATTTGATGGTGAAATATATTTCGATTTTATTTTCGGGGATAAATAGAATGAGGTCATAGTTCCGTGGGCATATGATGCTATACGGTATTTCTCGCGGGGAAATAGATCGTCGACCCGAAACTTTTCAACTATTTTAATTCCACCAACTAATTTTGGAAAAAAAATGTTAAAGTCAAAACATGTTTTGGTGGTCATTTAGTTTCCAAAAAAAAATGTATTTACTTTTGGCTCCATTCCACAGTATATATGCTGATATATGTGTGTGAGTGAACACAACACACTAGATATATCTATCGTCTCTCATCTACTGCCATTTAAATAAATACAGATTTGTTTTGCCCATACCTACCTATAACCTAATTTTTTTTCTTGAGAGGCCATTTGCAAGGGCGATGGAAACACAAGCACGTCTCCCAGAGCTAATGTTGCCGGAGATTTTAGCGAGGATAAAAAGCATCGGGAGATTCAAATCGGTGTTTAAGTCATGGAAGTAAACAATTGAATCTGCGTATATTTCCGCTGTTTCTCTTTGTCTCTGCAAGCAAACTCCACTTCAACGTGGTCGCGCTGTTAAGGACCAAAAAAAAAAAGCCATATAGAGTTCCGTGGATCCGAACATGTGATCTTCCAAACGCTGCACTTGAGAGTCTAGAATAAAAATTGAAATGATTATTGTTAGGTTGAAAATCTGATAGTGAGAAAGAAAGGAAACACTATATTAAGAACTTCAGAAAGCAATGCTCCTTTTTTTTTTTTTAATTATAAATGTGTTTTCATTATCTTAAACATAAGTAGTTCCTTTTACATGTGGATAATAGTTACAACCAACTTATCCACCACAAATGTTCAGAAGGCGTTGATCATATTCATCCATCAGGGAATAACCTCAACCAACTTACCATAATACTATGACAATAGGGGTTTGGCATGAACTGTTATTTACCATAATTAACTGGTCTTCCTCAATGTTAAACATCCTAATATTTCTTTAAAATCTTTGAAATAATTATTTGGCAACTCTTTTGGAAAATCATCACAAGGAGTGATTTTGGTTGTTCTATAAAAGTTAATCTTAAAAGGAAGAAGATTCGTTCTATATTCTCTTGTATAATCACCGATGGTAAAATTATTCAGAATAAAAGAGTCTCCTTGAAATAACTTAGATTTGAAGTTACTAAGATAATAATGCTTTTGTATTCTTTTGTTTAGATTCTATTAGCTCTCGATAATGACTAAGTCAGCGGCGCATAATCAATATAATAACCAACGAAAATATTTTGATAATGCTTTTGGTCAAACATGTATTTTAGCGGACTATAATCAATATAATAACCAACTAAAATATTTTGATAATGCTTATGGTCAAACATGTATTTTATCAGATTATTATTAGTTAATGGATTATAATAATCAACAAAAAGTTAAAAACATGTTAGATAAGTATTATGAATGCAAATATTACAAAAAATATGATTTAAAACTAAAAATTATGAAAATTACCTAAAATCATGGAGGACATGACACATCAGCAAAGTTATTTCTTAAATAATAGTATAGATATGTGAAAATTCCAATTTAAATTTTATTTACAAATATTAAGCTATCAATTATGTTTTAGACTAAATTTTTAAAAATACTTAAAAAGTTGTAAGAACTTTGTTTACGTTGATCAATGTAAAAAAATTTCTGCAAATTTTTATTTTCTATCTTTTAATAGCTATAAAAAATATAGCTAAAACAGATATGTCTAACCTAAATTATACAACAAAGAAATCCAACCAATTAAAACCAAAGTATTATTTAAAAATAAAAAGAAATAGCTTAAAACATCATAATAATTTTGGACTTTAATCTTTATATATAAAGAAGAGTTTCCCTCATTTTTGTGCTGCCATGTCACTAATTAGTGAAAGGATAGAGTGACATGTGTCCTAATACTGAGTTTAATGATGTTTATTAACAACCGAATATGGACCTTTCATTAATTAGTCTTATATGGCCTTCGTGTTTCTGTATGCTGCTTTGTTACATATATAGCCCAACCCTAATAAAGTATTTAGCGGCTTTTACTTTTCACGATACATTTGTTTTAATCTCTTCTTCAATATTTTTTTTTAATTATAATTATATTAAATTAACAACCCTAAAAGGGTAAATCGGACGAGAACCGCCCGGTACATCGAGGAAACAGAGGCTTGCTAGGTTACAGGGAAACAAAATGAAGACAATCCTAAACACAACAGATCTTCTTTAATATTACCTGCGTTGATATATAATTATTTGAACCCACACCCAAATATTAGTCAATGTGTTTTATATAAACTATAGTTTTTTTTCTTTTGACACCTCATCAAGAAGTTTTTAAGAAACTTAACACCTATGTCATAATTTTATAAGTATGAGTAAATGGTTTTAACCTTTCATCTTCATATTATTTAAACTAAATCAATTAACAAAATATTTAATAACTCGTAAATCATTTTAATTAATACTTTATTTTTAATCAAACCAAATTATGACATTAATCTTTTTGTTTATCAAAACATAATCAGTTGGTAAAAATATTTAATATATAGTGCCTAAAATAAATAATTTCAATAGATAATAAATAAAAATAATTAGAACAAAAAAAAGTCATTTCACATTTTAATATTTCTACGTTTCTTTATTTATACCAGTGAAAAATGAATGTCACAAGCTTTTTTCTCTTCCGACTACAAATTTAGTTCAACCTAGACAAAATGATAGAAAATTTGTCCAAAATATATTATATTATTATACAATTTAGTAAATTATAATGTCTTTCATTAACATATATAAAAAAGAACGCACGTAAATAAAGATTCACAAAATATAACCAACCTTTTGAATTTAAAATAAATATCAGTCAAAATATTTAATTAAAACCCTGCGTGAACCGCAAAATGATATTATCTAACACCATATATTCACACCCAAAACTATTTACACAAAATTTATTAAAAAATATTTCCAATGCAATCTTTCTGAACCCAAAATATTACAAACCGCAAAAAAACGCACATGATATGGGATAAACTATATTTAAAAGAAAACAACACGAAAACTATATCAATGCAACAAGTTTTAATATGGGAACAACTATTTTAAAAAATAAAATATATCTTATCATATATAATCTCTTATTTTGATACATATCTTTTACAAATGCAAACCTAAAATACAAACAACAAAATCATACCAAAAATAAAAATATATATCATAAATAAAATATATCCCGCCCGTAGGGCGGGCCGATCCTAGTTATTTATAAAGAGATTCATTTTAGTTGGGTTCATTGTGTCCCCTTGTCTGGATTTATATTTTAAGTCTATTTCCAATAAATCTTTAATTTTTTCTAGAAAATAGAAAACTATATTACAAAATTAGATTTGTTTGAATATATGTTTCTATAATAAAATTCTTATATTTTTAGGAGAAAATATAAAAAATATTATTTCCAATTCTAAAGAACAAAAGTAACATTTCTCTATATTGTTTTCCAAAATACAAGATTTTTATTAAAAAATAATATATACCAAATCTACTTATAATAGATTTTTTTTTTAGAAAGAAATATAGAGATATACATTGAAAATGCTTTAATTTTTATTATTATTTTTTGTTTTTGTAAAAGAATGCAAGTCTTATTCCCTGCTCTCAATTTAATCTAAAAATCTAGCGTCGCACGTCACAAAATTTAAAACGGAACCTCGAAACCCTAGTCGTCACATTTGCAGAGAGACCATCTACAATGGCCATGGAAACACAAACACATCTCTTGGAAGTGTACTGCAGACAGAGATTCTAGCCAGATTACCTTTAAGAACCATCGCTAGATTCAAATCAGTGTGCAAGACATGGAAATCAACAATAGAGTCTGCCTATTTCCGCCGTCTCTTTTTATCTCTGCACCAAAACTCCTCTTCTTCTTCTTCTTCATCGTGGTCCCTCTTGTACGGAGAAGAAGAACTCATAGGGTTCTATGGATGCAAAACATGGGATCTTCCAAAGTCTCCAGCTTCACTCATCCCACCGCCTTTCAAACGTTATCATATTGGTGATTGCTACTACTGGGATTCCTCCGGTGGATTGGTTTTGATCATCGACGAATCTGATAATGCTTACTGCTACGCCTACGTGGGCAATCCAGTTTTACAGCAATGGGTCAAAATCCCTCCACCTCCAACTCATCTTACAGGTGATTCTAGGTATGTGTTTGGTTTAGTGACGCGTTTGGATGAGGACGGTGTCGTTTTGAGCTTTAAAATGGTTAGGATAGCTCCGAGTTCTCATCCAACCACAAATGATTACCTCTTCAGTGTGTTACTGTATTCCTCCGATACAGGGGTTTGGACTTCCAAAGTAATTCTTTCTCCTAAATACATCACCAACATATATAATCTCAACCTGAATGGTACGATTTACTTTGGTTGTCTTGGTGTAACGGGAGTACTCGCAGCTCATGATTTCTATTCAAAATCGGATCAATTCCGGTTTGTGAAATTACCGGACTATCCGGATTACAACAAGGACTACAAACGAACCTTGACTACATCAGGAGGCTTTGTCATGTATGTCAGAACGTTAGCAAAAAAAGAAGAAACTGTTTTGAAGATTTGGAGGTTGAACAATGATGACGACGACACTTGGCATCTTTTGTGGGAAGTTGGCTTCCCAATGATTATCGGTAACTATGCACCCTTGGCAATGCATCCGTTTGATATTGGTACTGTTTATCTATGGAGTCAACGGGATCATCATTGGGTATCGTGTAACTTGGAGAAACAAGACTACAAAATCCTCGGTGATTCATCTAATGACGGTCATCAAGAGTGTTTCATTGACCAGCCTCTTTGTAAGAAGAGATTGGATCATATATGGTATCGAAGATCATCAGATTCAGAAGAAGACTTGAACTTTACAGTTTATTCGTTTTGCACATTGGTGGTCCCACGGTGGATGGAATCGGTGCCTCGTCCTCCCCAAGCTGAGATGATGAACACGACTTCACTACTTCTTACGCTAGACAATGATGAAGAATAGACGTAAGGACGAGTACTTTTGTATGTAGGGATATTGGATTTGTTTGCTGTGTTTTGGATTTGTTTTTTATTTATTACTTTTGTTCAACTGGATTTGTTATCGTTATTATGTTTCCAACTACGCTCTGTTTTTAGAGCGGTGTCTGATTTTTTTATAACATCAAAACAAAACAGAAAATACTATAATGGATTTTCTTTGATTTTTCTTTTCAAATTTCTGTACGAAACTTTCGATTATTTTAATCCTACCAACTAGGTTTGGACAAAGGTGTTCAAAAGCCACAATAGTACCAATCCATTACTGTCGGTAATATCATCAAAGAAATTATTTGTAGTGAGAACACACCAAAAGAATGGATTTAATTTTGGCTCCATTACAAAGTCATGTACTGATCATGTTCATATATGTGTGACCACACTAAATCGTCTCTCATCTAGTGTCATTTAAATAAATATAGATTTTTGTGTGTTGAGAGGCCATTTGCAAGGGCGATGGAAACACACACATATCATGGAGCTGATGTTGCCGGAGATTCTAGCTAGATTAACGATGAGAAGCATCTGGAGATTCAATATGGTGTCAAAGTCATGGAAGTCAACAATCGAGTCTGCGTATTTCCGCCGTCTCTTTTTGTCTCTGCACCCAAACTCCACTTCGTTGTGGTCATGCTGGTTCGGACCAAATAAAACAAGCCATAGAGTTTTATGGATGTGATCTTCCAAAGTCTCAACCTTTGATCATCCAACAGTCTCTTCATCTCGGTGATTGCAAATATAAAGCTTACTATGGTGATCTCGACCGATACACTAACTCATCATCGACCGATTTCTGATAGAAAGATCGATCGATGACTCTGATCAAGCAATGCACACGAGTTAACTCACTAAAGATTTCTAAATCAAATTATGTCAATTATATTTCTAATAAATCCTAGCTTGATAAAGATGTGTTCATGATATTTAGAATCACTTAAATGTCTCTAATCTAATCTAAATAATTCGGGATTCAATGTTTGTAGTTACCTACTCTAGAACCATGAGAAATTAAAAAAATCCTATCAATAAGTATCACAACTAGCAATCCTATATTTGGGGTTAATCCCTCTAACCTATTTAAACCCTAAATCTAACAAGTAAACTACTCAGACATAACCAAGCAATTCATAACACATGTAAATAAATAAAACTGCATATTATAAATAAATAGATAGGTAGAAAGCATTGGAGTTCCAATCTCAAATCTCTCTCAAGATCTTCTCTCCAATCTAAAAACCCTAAAACTTATGTTTTGAAAAGAATACAAAAAATTCTCTCTAAAAATCTGATACAGCCTCAGAATCTCACTTTAGCTTTTCTCACAAGAAATCAAAACCTACGGCTTAAATGGATTGAAGATCGCCACTCAAAGATGTGAAAGACTTTGAGATAAGATCAAGAACCAGAAACTAAGTGAATCTCACACAAAGATAAAGGTTCCACACTTGTATCCTAAGAAAGCATCTCACATAACTTAGAAATAACAAGAACAAGCATAAAAGCTCTCAAGAGAAATATCTCACTTTTTATTCAAAATACTCAAGTCTACCTTTACAATGAAATAAGAGGAGCTTTATAAATAGCTCTTGGACAAAATCACAGACATAAATGAAAGGCGGATTTCTAGGACAAATCATAATTAAGAGAAAATCAAATGGCTGGTCAAAAGGACTGATCTGAGGGGATTGAGATTTGCTTATTAAGGAGATGTTAACCACACATTTAATACCTTTGATCCACATAATTATTAGCTGATAAGGAGGCTTAAGTGGTGGCCTTTGTTTGGGAACAGCCAACTGAGTCAAACGAATCATGGGCTTGGTGTCGTCTAGGTTCATCCGAGTCCAAACATGGAAAGTATCGTCTACTTTAAGAGTAGTGGATTTGATGCCCGCATCAAAATCCTCTCAAAAATTCCCCCTCTCTTTGCCTCTAACACTTTGGCAAAATATATAATAATTAGGTTAAAACTCGTCAGGAGTAAAACTGTCATTTGGTGATGATTGGGCTTAAGTAAACTTGTCTCTTGGTTTCTGGGTCTTGATAATCGATCGATCATGCATGATGCATGTCGATCGATCCGGGTCTCTCTGTGTCGACCTCGTGATCGAGTCTGAATTGAACGCTTCTTCCAATTCTCTCCAAAATGCTCCAAAAACATCACTTTCTTCCAAAATACTCCTGATCTCATAAATATGCTTAAAATCTTCTATAGTATAGTAAATAGTAGTAAAAACACTAATATGCTATGACTAAAAACAAGTCAAAATCATGGTATATCATCATGAGAGAGATAGGAGAATCGCAAGAAGGATGACAATACAAGGACATAAAGCATTCCTTTGGATTTGTTATTGTTCTATAGTGTGATTGGCGCTGTCAGTGTGTGTGGTTGTTTCTTGTTTGTTTGTTGTTTGGATTCGCTATTGTTCAATAGTGTAATTGATGGACAGTGTGTGTGGTTGTTTCTTGTTTGTTGTCGTTTGGATTTGCTATTGTTTCGTTAGTGTTTCAAACTATACTATGTTGTGTTCAGTAATATTAGTGTCGAAATGACTTTATATATTACTATAGTATGGCACGTTTATATGTATACAATCGATACATATATGAATTGTCTCCCATCTATTTTTAGTGTCGTTTGGACTTAGCTCTATTTGGCGACTCATATTCATGAACTTCAAACATGATCTCCATGTCTTTGGATTCATTTGTTCAAAGTTCAGAGTATACAAGTTTTCTCACCGTAGATCCTTTGCAAAACAATATAAAACCACATTGCAATTTTCAAAGATGGTCACACTCACCAGAGAAACTAACTGAATTGGAATTTTTTTTTTTTTATTTACTACTGAATTGGATATTAACCAATGATATTGCTCGATGAAGAGCTTTGATGCTTGAGCATCTAATCGTATGTTTACCGTCTTCAACGTGAAGAAAACATTTTTGGGAACCATACTTAAGCGTCCAAAACATGCAAGCCATTGACATTAGAGGTGGGTGCGGATGGGATATCCAGATTTTGAAAGGTATTTATTATTTGTTTTGAATATTATGAATATCTGATTTTGGTATTTGTTTTGCTTCGAAAAAATACAGATATCTGGAAAATAAATAGATATTTACGATATCTCATCCGTTTGATTAGTAAAAATAATGTTAAAAATTTGATACCAATTTATTTAATAAAATATTTGTTGCTGATATATAAAATAAAAATTAAATAAATTAATTAATTCATAGATTTTGTAATTATTAAAAATTTAAATTAACAATTATAATAACACAAAACTTGAGAATTTTTTTTATAATTTTCATAATTTTTTTCGTTTCTTTTTATGTAATACTTTTATATAAATAATAATGTGAATATAATTGGTCAAATCATATGTTAGAATAATATTTATATAATTTTGAACATTTAAAATTTTAAATATAATCAAAGATATACATGTATTTATATATTTCCAGATTGGAACAGATGTTGGGATCAAAAACGGTCACGACGAAGTTAGCATCCCCCGATCGAAATACCCTAACACATCCACAGACGGTCCAGATCGCTACGTAGCAACCTGACCCGCACACGGACTAGGTCGCTACATAGCGACTTATCCCGCCTGGTCCAAGTCACTACGAAGCAATCTGGCCCGTACACGGACCAATTCGCCACGTAGTGACCTGTCTTGCTTGGCCCGAGTCGCTACGTAACGACCTGTCCCACACGACCCGAGTTGCTACATAGTGACCAGATCACTCCGAACATACAAATCAAGCATTCTCGTCTACTCTTTAGTACAATTTCCCGAAGGCCACAGCTGAACTACCACTCATTCCTTACCGATCGGAGTTATCGTTCATACTTTACGATAAAACCCATGGAGAGCTTATTTTATCGGAAAAAACCGTAAAAATGTTTGAGTCAAAATACGGTCTAAAGAGGCCTAGAACGCGACTAGAAGCCCACTTACAGTTTTTTATTTAAAAAGTCCATAGATCCTACGGCGGTTTGTCCTTGGTCCGCAAGAGAGGATAAATGTCAAGTTTCCGCATATAAATGTCAAATTTCCTAAGATAATCATGAAGATCGGGAAAAAAGGAAAATCTCTATTTTTGGGTTATGACGGCTTAAGGGCAGAAGTGAAAAGCGTAAACTGACCTTTAAGGAAGTATATAAGAAGTTCTAGGCGCAAGACAAAGGGGCATCACCAGAGAAAACTTAGTACTTAGAGCATTTTAAGCAATTTTCCGTTTGTGTTATTCGAGCTGTGACTCAATTAGTGTTTATGTAGTCTTAGGTTGCTAGAACTAGGATCTCTCCGTCATGTCTTGTAGACAAGGCTCCTAACTCGTTGTAACGCTCATATGCAGATTCGGAATAAGAACTCTTTTGCTCCCTTTTTGATTTATATACATATTTTCGTCTTTTTACTTTATGTTCTTGATTGCTTAGCGTGTGGTTTAGCAGATATTTGGGAACTCTGGGAAACTAGTTTACCCTACGTTCCTAATTCAACGAAAATCGATAGTGCAAATTTCGGTTCCCACAACGGATATCTGATTCCCAAAATTTTAATATTTTGTGATTTGCTTCAATGTTTACGGATATTGATTTTTAGTATTTGTTTTGATTTGAAAGTACAGATATCCGAAATTTTCAGATCAAATCGAAACGAATAATGAATCGAGACGAATAACGAATCGAGACAAATAACAAATTGAATCAAATTTGATGGATAAAATGCACAGTCCTAATGGATCCAGATAGTGATTTTACGGATCCAGATAGTGAAATTTAGGTCCGGATATCTGGATATGGATCCGTTATACATTTTAAAAATATTTAAAATATAATTATATTTATAGATGTATACTGTATATAATTTTTCAATAAAATAAATAAATTAAATTTTTATTAAATTTTAATGATTTTGACCCGTACTTACGAAGGTTACAAAATGT